TCACCCTGGTTCCTAAAACCCACCTCCTTCACCTAATGGGTTATTTAACTATCACCTGTACTTATGATATATGACCGTATCCATCTCTTAGTAGGAAATTCTGATCGCATGGATCATGTCCAGTGTCTGTCAGCTGCTCCGTCTCTCCCTGTGAACAGTGGCACAGAAGAGATGTATCCAAGCAGAAGGTCCCTCAGTACCATGGAGACTGCGGCTTTTCTAGGGAGTGCTAGGGGTCTGTAGTGACCCTGCATGGGAGCTGTGCCTGGGACAAATGCTCCTAGCCCATGCCGTCTCTGAATCACACAATCTATTCTCAGAGGAATCAAATCCAAACTTGAACTTAGTACTCTCTCTTGCTCAGGCAAGAGAAACTCTAAAGAATCTATCGATCCAAAGTATATCAGAAGTAATCTTTTAACAAGGAGGCTTTGGTTTGGCACTGTGCCGCAGTCCGGCTGCAGCAAACTACCCAGGGGGTGATGAACGACTTGTGTAGATCAATACAGCAGGAGTGGGAGCCATTTATTGTAGGACAGGAGAGGTATATATACACTCCACACAGCCTATCTTAATTAACATAAACTCGATACAGCAGTCAACCAATAAGGAATCTCCACACTTAATGGCTCGCTGGTGCCACCTCACAAACAACTCCCCCTGGCAAAATGCCAGGCCCCATCCAGACTTGTTTACAGGCTCTAACAGCACTGTGGTTGCCATGGGTTGTGTAGGAACTCTGTTTCAGTCCCTGGCCAAGCTTCCCATGGAAAATATCAGTATGGTGAAATCTATCCTTGCACCTAAGTATAGAACTAGGACTATATAGACTGGAAATCACCTTACAACAAGCTAAAGTAGAACATTATCCTTTTATGTTTTAAAATGTACCAGCTCTTAAGCTGCAGATCAAAAGATGTGTGTGACTGGCTTTGTAATGATTGAGTGTTTAACTGTCCATCCTCCATGTCAGCCAGGTCTGTCCTGGTTTGCAAAGCTTAATGTAAGCATTTCACATTCTCATATTCTGAAACATCCCTATTCTAGCATTTTCTCTATATATCATTTTTAATTTCTTAAACATGTCAGTATAACACTTAACTTTCATCTCTTAAAAGTGTTAAGACAAAAATACTTTTCATTCCTAGGATTTAAACCTGAGTAAAGAATGAAACAAACACCCAAGTCTTGGAAACCCCAATTACAGTGGAGCCCATGCCCGGTTAGAAAAATATTCTTACCTTCCACTGGAGTTGTCCTTTGGTAAATATTAATGCTTAACCAGTTATCTAAATAATTCATTCACACAGGAAGAACAACGCAGCTCACATCTATAGCCACCCCTTTTTGCTTAGTAAGTGTTGCAAGATGAACTTCACCTTTGATAAAGCGGATCTGAAACAGTTTTCCTGCAGGTGCCTCTCCCTCTCAGCACCATCTAAACTCGGGAAGTGAATCTAGCCCCGAGACAAGTGCTGCTGCTCCATCATGACGGAGCCCAGTGCTGGAGCTCCGTGGCCTACAGCTGAATCCTTCCCCAGCCCACTATGTGAGTCACCTGGGCAAGGGGACCAGTTCTGCCAGGGCACCGTCCTCTGAGACGGGAACCAGCATGTCATTTCTGTCTTGTTGACATCATGATACATACCCAAAATGGTGACTTTCAAACTTGGCGGTCAGGACCCACGGTTTGAAAATACCTCTGAATGTTCCTAGCACTACCCACGTGAGAATTTCCAGTAGCAATCTTAAGTACTCTGGGTGAGTCACTACAACCTGTAAAAGTGGGGTCTCTGGCATTAAGGAGAGAAATTCACTGAATTCCTGTAGGAAAATCCAGGTAGACTTCATATTCATTCCAAATGAAAGTGACTTTTTCACTCCGTGCTTCCAGAATACCTGTCACACCTGAGCTTTAGGGCTCCCAATGAGGGTGAGAGAAACTCTTGTCCTGGGTGTTATAAACTCCCCTGCAGGTGTTGCTCTGTTGCCATCCAGGCTGGCCCTACTGCTTCCTCTCAGGTGTTCAGAGAGGCTCTGTGGCGCTGAAGAAGGGTGGGAGAATTCCATGCCTCCAGCTCGTGGCCTGGCTGGTGAGGAAGTCTCCTTATGCTTAAAGCTTGTCCCTGTCGCCCTGGGGTTACTGGAATGGTGTACTGAATGGTGATATCCCAGGGCGTAATTATTACATTACATGCGTGGATCTAGCTGCTGCTAACTCCGTTTTTCTTCTTTGTCTGCCTCAATGCAGCTATGTATGCCAGTCTATTTCCTTGGAGTTTGCATTGATGACAATGTGTGGGTCTGAACAGATGTGAACTAACCTCAGCAGCTGGACACAGTAACATGTTGTATTCCTTGGGACATTGAAGGTCAAGGTTGTCCTCCTCCAAAAGCAATCCTTAGATGAAGGTCAGAAGAATTCTCTTTATCATGAGAACTGCTATTCCTTACAGATGTCCCCAATTTACAAGGCTTGATGTAATCATCTTCTGGGTTTACAGTAGTGGCATGAAAGTTGCATGCCTTTGGTAGAAAATATATTTCTGATTTTTCTCCTCTGTGGTGCTGGAACTGATCCCAAGGCCTTGGAACATGTGGAATAACGTTCTACTACTGCACTACCCTCCAGCCCTTAGTCCATCTTGAGTTGTGATCTGTTCCCAGGCTGGGGCTGGGGACATGTGGGACAATAACCTCTTGCAACACTGGCCAGCAGCAGCAGCAGTGGGCCACAGGTCCTTCTCGTCCATGCAACCATGGGGCAAAATACCCACAGTCTAGCTGCGCACTGTGTTGTTAGCTGTGAGTCTCAGCAGTTTGAATTCATTATAAGTCAAGAAGCAGCTATATTTCTGTGGCACATGGCAGGTTTCATCTTTAAAACGACTGAGTTTCAGAATTTATCTGTAAGGGGGACAAGCTGGCCATCATTGCCAGCAGTCGGTCACATTGCCACTTTTCCCTGGAAACTCTGGGGATGCTTCTGTGAGACTCGGTGCCTGATGCCTCAAGAGAATGGGGAATGGCTTTGGGATGTAGATACAGGCGCCAGGGAACAGGGGGCATTGTTCTGGGAGTGGGGGATGGGTTCTATTGGGATGTCCTAGGCCGGGAGACACCTCGTAGCCCTGGTGCTTATCATATGAGGCCACAAGACCTTGGGAGAACGGGCACATGGCAGCCCCAGGAAGTTCTGCCTCCTGTGCACCATCCTGGAGTCCTGGCCCACTTTTCACACAGCCCAGATCCAGCACTTGACGCCAGAGGAGGGTGACAGGTGATGGAGCCCCACAGCAGAGTCCCCTGCATTTCTCACACAGTGTTCTGTGCTTTCCAGACCCCACGGGCTTCCAACCCTGCCTTTGTCCCAGTCAAACTGGAAATCACTGGGGGCCTCGAAGAAAAGCCCAGGAAGAGCTGCAGAGGAAGGAAGTTAGACTTCAGGAAGGAGGGTAAGTGCTCTTAAGAGAGATAAAGGTGACCTTTAAGCCCCAGAATTGTCAACTAACCACTTACTTCTGCCTTTGTGGTAAGACAGTGTAAGACAGCAGCTTTTTATTTAACTTGTAAGGGAATATCCCAAAATAATCCAGACCCTATAATTTTTATTCTAAATGTTACTTTCAGAGCCTTCCCTGAAAGTCCATGGAGCCAGTCCGTCACTTCCTGGGTATATACTTATCTTGGCAGAATATTTAGAATACTTGAGATTTTCTGGTTACCAGAACTTGTTGGCAGAATGTCTACAATCCAGTGGACCAGCCTGATATTTCTTGGCTACCAGGGCATCGAGAGAGGCATTCTTCTATTGGACTAGAATGGTCCTGCAAGTTCTGAGTATGTCCAGAGTGGTCTCAACCACTCTTTATCTGGGTCTTAGGGCTGGACTTGCAGCCAGCCACATTGAGGGATGAGGCAAGGTCTCCCTCTGGACACTGCGTCCCCAGCTGTGTACCTCAGTTGTAATGTACATTTACTGCATGCACAACTTCCACCTGGGCCACTTGACATTGTCCCTCGGGACCTGAAGGTCAGCCCAACATAATGCCCATGTGGCTTACTGTGTCATTGATAAAATAGTCTTTCGTCTCTGACCCAAAAGCCTCATGTTTTCTGATAGCATTCCTTAAGTATTAACAGGCCAATTTACTGGTTTGTAAGAAGCATAAGATCTTGGACCCTGACACACAGCTTAAATTTATGGCAGAGGACCATAAGCCACCATGAACCATCTGTTTTTACCAAGGCCATATGAATGAGGACTACTGCTGCATCACTGATGGTGGTTTGAATTTGTTTAATGATCCTCTGCATAAGAATTACTTATGGTGTTGATGAAAACCAAAGTATGTCACTCCAAATTATGCCTCTTTGACATAAAAATTGTGTTAAGCTGAAGGCTATTAAACAACAGCAAATACAGGAAAGCCCTCCCCATTTTCTGCCTCAAGACAGGTTTTAAATTCTCCATTGCTGGAGCCCACAGACATGGCCCCAAAGGAATCTGAAAGCAAATATTGCCCCACATGTGTCCTTCCATATTTTTATCTTATAATATCCCACTCTTGTAATCATAAATCCAATTTCCACTGTCTGGCATTTTTCTCCATATTATTGTTCTTTGTTAAAGATGCTATGTAAGTTAGGATTCTAAGCCACCTCCTCAAGTTATTGTCATTAGGCTTTATATACCTGTGAGGTATACATATTTATATTGTATATACCTATGATTGTATATATGTGTATGTGTGATATATTATATATGTGTCTTTGTGCTATATATCCATATGTGATCCATATATGTATAAATATATATATGCACACACATATATCCATATGTATACATGTAAAATGAATGTGATTCAACTTCTATTTGTTTTCCCCTTGTAAATCTGTGTTTCATTACAAGGGTTCTAGAAAAGAATTTAGAAGAGTAGACTGCAAAGGATTTTTTTCTCCCCTACAATTTAGAACCTTTGTAGTGAGAGTAGAAAACATATTCAGAGGCTTTGCTTGGCTCCTTCTACCATCTGACCTTCACTCCACAGCACAGGGAAGCCTGACAGTGTTAGCCAACTGCTGGAAGTGTCCATGTGTGTTACACATCCAGGAAACAGAGTTAACCACTGGCTTGGACCTTGGCTCAGGCCATAGCTCCAATTGCTACTTGGCCTCTAAGGCCTTGTAACTGTGAATCACAGCGCTGCTTTGTGTCTTGCTATGGGTGTCATTTGAGACCTCATCTCAGCCTCCAGCCGTCCTGAAATTGTGAGTACTGACCTCCTTTGTACTGTTAGCCTGTGGTTAGCTGCAGGACCCCCTGTGGTCCACATCTTAATCCCCTAACTTGTGAATAAACACGTTGACTCGCATGGCCCAAGGAAATCTCAGAAGTATTTAAGATGAAGACCCTGAATAGGGAGGTTATCCAGGTACGCCCAGGGTGAACCCAGGGCCAGAGGGAGGCAGGAAGGTCAAAGTCAGAAGAGGAAATCTGAGGACAGAAGGAGAGGGAGGATTTTGAGGAAGGAACAGCCACTCAAGGACGTGGGTGGCCACGAGAAGTTGGAAAGGAAACGAGCTGTTCCCGGGATCCTGCAGAATGGACCCAGCCTTGCCAAGGTCCTTTGGGCATCCGACCACAGGTCAGGAGGATAATGGGTCTGTGATCTCAGACCACTGTGCTGTGGCACCTTACTAGAGCCGACTCACCCAGTGAGCCTGTGCCGCTGCTTCTCCTCTCCGCAGTGGAACGACCCCAAGAGCCACCACCACAGTACTGCTCCAGTTCCTACCAGTGAATGTCACCAAGATCTGAAGCCTGTGGCCACAGAGCTTGAATCCTCCAGTCTGACTCTGTGGAGAACTGCTGGCAAGGGGAGGGGACAATGGTTCCCCAAGAAAGCAGGCCTCGACTTGTAGAAACCAAGTTTTAGGGTCCCATTTTCCCCAGAGAATCCTGAGTTTGGTATGAGAAACATGGAAAGTTTGAAATTAAGCCTATTTTCAAGCTGTGTCACTATTTTAACATGATCTCGACTTGGTTTTAGCACAGACCTCCCTGTAAGAGGACTGTCCACTGAGTAGTCATAGGACACTCTGGCTTTTAAATGCATCTTGGGTTGGCAGTTGCTTCCTCTGAGACATCTTAGATATGAGTCGGGATATATCGGTGTCTTGTGCAATAGAGCTCTGATGGACATCGGGATTTCTCTTTCTCAGAATTAGTGACTGTCATTAGCCATGCATGATCTCTCCTAGAAACCTGATCTTCCATGGTCTTAGCAGCTATGACTTCGGTGTGAACGATCTAGCTGATTCATGATAATATGTCTAAAAGGGCACATAGTTTTCAGCGATTGAAATGTCAGAGGCATACCTGAGATTAGTAAAATCCCTTTTATTTCATATAATGGCAAGTTCTGGCATACTCATATAGGTAAGTGATTGATAAATCAATAATTAGAGCTGGAGATTCTTAACCAGTGAGACTGGACCAAGTGTTCTCTTCTAATCATGAAGACTCCCAGGGACCCTCTGAATGAAAGGCTGCCGCAGTGGACTGAAACCTACCAGAACTCGACTTCAGGAACTTGAGCCCAAGGGAGCATCTGCAATTTCATGCAGCACATGATAATATTTCAATCCAAGCAGTTATGAAAGATCTCATTCATCAGTACTGAAAGATGATATATTTCTTCATTACTCCAGTATCTTTTTCAATGTTTTTAAATTTGAGCCTCTTTTCATCATCGGAATAATTTCAAACACCTTTTTTATTTCTAGTGAATTCTGAACATTTTATCCTGTACCTAAGTAGGCATTACAAAATACTCTGAATGGTATAAACAACCCTTTCATCTTGATTTTTGATGAATATTTAAATTCACTATTTTCAATATCTATTTATTAATAGGAATACCAAACTTAGAAAAATTCAGTGTAGTAATTATGAAACAAATGAACCACTGTCTTTAAAAAAAATAGTAAAAGAGAGAGTAAATATCCTAAGACAAAGCTATATTTGAAGAGAAGAAATTGTTGGGTATTGGGAGGTTTTATAACATCTATGTAAAATAATATCACACTCAAATTTTAGGTCCCATGATATTCCCAGGGTCAGTAATACTCAAAACTCTTGTTTCTTATTTTTTTGCCTACCTCAGATACTAAAACCAGACAGAATTAGATAATAATTGACAGTTAATTTTTAGATGACAATCTCCCATGGACATTGATGCAATCATCTTAAATATTAAGGAAACAAATGTTAATACAGTCACTAACCAATGGAAAAAAGCTTGACAGGGAGTACAGAGAATCCCATGTACTATCTTTTTAACTTACTGCTGTAATTATTGGAGGTGAATATATTTTAAAATGAGTTTTTAGAAAATTGAGTAAATGTTTTAAATAACAATTAAATTCATGAAAATGTATTCAGGTATTCAATATCATTAGAAAGTCAATGTAAATCAAAACCATCATGACTTGGTTCTTTCTACCTTTTATGATAGCCGCCATTACAGATACACACACACACACACACACACACACACACACACACACACACACACTCCAAGAATAAGACTGTGCCCAGGATACGATGCAGGGCAACTGGAATTCTTCTACATTGCCAGTATGAATACAGAATGATACAGCCACTTTGAAAGACAATTAGACAGTTTTTTATGCAGTTTATCATTAATTTGTTAACATTCAGAAATCCCAGTTCTTCGTATTTATGCATTGCAATTAAAAACTCTGATTTCAGTTGAGTTACTACATAAGCATCTATGGTATCTTTATACGTAATTACCAAAACCTGAAAACCACCAAAATACCCTCTAGGTGGTGAAGGGGCAAACACATCAGCGTGGAGCACTGCTGTGAATCCTAAGACATACAAGAGAGTGAACTACATGGTAAGTCTCAGATTAATTATGCCAAGAACTCAATGCACAGCATGTGGGTGTTTCTGCTTGTATGATACTTGAGGAAGGACAAAGTGACAGAGAAGAGTTGCTGCTGGGGTGGGGCAGGATGTAAGGGATGATTACAGAGGAGGGGAGGTCATGCTGTAGGGCGATGGAAATGCTCCAAGATTTTACTAATCTGGTGATAATAGGCCCATGTGTATATACCAAAACTCAGAACTGTAAACCAAACAAGGAAGATTTACTGTTTGTGAATTTTATATCTTGGTATTAAATAGGGAGACACCAAAGAATGACCATTAAAAAGCACAAATTAAGCAGATAAGTGGTATACTTTGAGTTAAGTTTATTTCAATAAAGAAATATGTAACTGGACCTTTGAAAAATACAAAGATTCTGAGAACAGTATCAAAAGATGAAATCATAGCAGATTTAAAGTTTTAAGTTACTTTTATTTGTGATTCTAGAATCCAGCAGCACCTCATTTTATCAAATGAGTAACCTGTAAGCCTAGTTCCTCAGGAACCTGAAGTAGGAGACTGAAAAGTTAGAGGCCAGCCTGGCAACACACTGAGACCCTGTCTCAAAATTAAAAAAAAAAAATGGAAAGGGATGGGTGTAAGATGCCGCACTGCACTAGGAATGGAAGACACCACACGACACAAATCACTGGAGAGGTTCTGCTTTATTGCAAAAGGCTGCGGGTTTATACAGATCTAAGGAGAGGTCGCAGGGCTGAGGTAGATAATGGGTCACCCGTTTATTGGCAAGCTCTTCCATATATCAGTTCCGGAGCCCAAGAAGTTAATTCTTATTGGGGCTAAGGTTTCTCACCCGCAGGATTTGAACATTGGCGCCAGTGGGAACGTTTCATGCCAGTAAAAGAAAAAAAGAGGGAAAAGAGGGTTGTTAGGCGCCCTGTTGGGGCTTTTCTCTGGGGTGCTGCTGCTGTTATATGTTTTCCCAACAAGGAGAATGTAGCTTAGTGGTAGAGTACATGCCCAGCATGCACAAAGCCTTGGGTTCAAACCCCAATACCACCATTTATAAAAAATAAAATGAATGTTTTGATGAGTTGGGCTTAACAGGCAAGAAGGGGCTGAAGAAAGTGGAAACAGAGACAAAGAGCAATTGGTTGTTCCAATGTCATTTTCCTTACAGGGTTAAAACAGAGGGAGCCTTAACTATGTGTCCCTTAGAGGGGGGCCGCTACTGTTGAATAAACTAGTCAGTGCCTGGGAAAGCTTGCAGTGAGATAAAATTCTGATAAGAACCTAGTAACCCAGGAAATGGGGAGGTGGAACTGGCCGGTTCCCTTACCTGCATCCTTGGAAAAGGAAGGGAGGAACTCTGGTTCCATAGTAAATGAGCATACTCACAGGGTGTCTGAGGAACGTCACCAGTGCAGGGGGGTGGGGGGGGTGTACCCCATGCTCTATACTCCCCAGCTTGTAGGCACTGCGGGGTTCTCCACTGCATGCACCCCAACTCCGAGGAGTAATAAAATGTCCCAAGCCTCTCCATCGAGTCCTCTAAGGTCTCTCATTGGATGGGTAAACAGTATGCTGGGGTCTTTGCAGCCTGGTTTGAACAGCTACTGACCCAGGTAGAGGGGAATCTCCTCTGTTTTGGAAAATTGGCCCCTTTCAAAGTTCAGTTTGATTACATGACATCTGACACAAGTGGCTTCTATCTGTCTGGTCTGGTCTTCAGAGGCCTAGTGTGTATGGGGCCAGAGAAAAACAAAGGGTTCTCATAAACTTTGTTCAACATTAGATGATATAAATTCAGTCCTGTCCTTAAGCAGAAATTGATATCACAGTTAAAATATAGAAACTTTGAGAGGAAACTATGGAAATGATGTATTATATAAATCTTACCCCAAAGGTCTTAGTGATACTAATTATCCAAATAAATATATTTTAAGGCAAAATTTGTAAGCAAAATGAAAAATTTACTTTACCTTCACAGGCAACATTTAAGTTTATCTAAAATAAAGATCTTATAAAGATATAATGAAATATTAGCATCTGTTTGATTATATTGGTACATGGCAGTTTTTTCCTGTCTGAAATCTTTGAAGTTAAAAAATAAGCCAAAAAAAAAAAAAAAAAGTCTTTACAAGACACAGCAAAACTCCAGCAATCCTTAACCTGGAGACACTGTCTAGGAATTGAGCTCTACCCCTTCATTTCTGTACCCACTACAGATCACACAATGTTATCTGAGCATCCTCTTTTTTAATTCTGCCCATCAGCACATACACAAAAATCCACAGACATGCCAGGTATCATAGATTAATATTCAGAATAACCAATATTTTATTTAGAAAACTATTAATGAAGAATTTGAATACTAAGGAAAACACCTTTCCTCTAGGAACTACAGTATAAGGTCCCTGGCATTAATTTACACCATCAAGGGATGAGAAGGGAATTTAAAAATAAGCAAATAAAAGTGATTTCCAAATAATGAGTGATCATTATATCCCTGGGGCCTTAAGAAGCATAAAAATAGAACAGGAAAACAAAGAATGTCTACAGAGAGTTAGCCTGTGATGTGAATGAAAATAACACCGTGTCCTCGTAAAGGCATAGGTGTGGTTATTTAAGTCTTAGAGTCTGAGGTTATTTTTGTCCCAGATTTGCATGTAATGGATAAGTCTTTGATAAGAGTGTAAGTCATAGGCTTTCAAATGGAAGTTATTTCACTTCTGATATCTGGGAACAACCCAGCCACCTTCTCACATTGTTCCTGTGTGCTAATCAAATCAGGGAAATTCATGTCAAACAGGAAAACTGCTCAGATGATGGCCACCCTATTCCTATTGATGAAAAAATACAAAATAAATGAAGGCAAGGAACAAGCAAAATCTCTCAAAATTTTATTCTTGAAATACTGCAAGGGGTGCAAAGAGAGGAGAGTATGCTGGGATGTTTCTGAATGGAAGGATAGAGACAGAAATGTTACTCTCCTGCCAGCTCTATCAGCAGCATCTGGAGCCAGGGGTGTGCACAAACAGATGCTTATGCAATATTATAAAATGAATGCATGGCAGATAGGATTCTCTGGGGAGTGGGAAGACAAAAACCTCATGTCAATGGCTTTGAAACAGTCTCTAGCCATTGTTCTACAAGTCATATCCACTGAAGAAATGAACCATGCCATCAATGTATAACTTGAGATGCTGAATAAACTGCTTAGCTCAGGTTTGGATTCCTCCCCACAAAGAAGCCAGCCTATTCTCTAGCAGTGACTACCAGATCTTGTCTCTAGATTAACTAGACTGAAAGTAGGAGTCTGCAGTTAGATGTGGGGCAGGGAGATGGAGCTAATGAATGAAGTCATTTAGACTGAGGTCAGAGCTCCTCTGAGCATCTGGTCATGAAGAACAGAGGGTGGGGTGAAGAATGAGGAGAATGAGATCTATGGGTGGAGGATGAGATCTATGGGTGGAGGATGAGATCTATGGGTGGAGGATGAGATCTATGGGTGGAGGAGAGTAGTGGAGCTGAAATTCCATGTGGCCGAGGGAAGAAAGTGGTGGAACCGTGTGTTCTGAACTTTTCATTTATTAAAATAATTCATTGGAAGGACAACCAACAAAGGTGTCTCCAGTATCCATGGTCCCTGTATAGGTCAACCAAAACCCTTACCAGTGTAAGTGATAAAGTAAAACTTAATCTTAATCATCAGAAATGGCCAACTGAGCTCCAACTAGGGACTTTGCACTGGGAATGACCCAGATAAGTATATTGTTGCTTTAGCCAATGGCCTTTTTGACTCACCCTCATGTCCACTGGATAAAAGCCTTCCCCACTGCCTTTCCTTGGAACCCGGAGCGAGTGCTATTTCCTCCACCAAGCCATGTCTGCTCAACTACTAGACTCTCCATTTGCCAAAGTTTATCTTTTAACTAGTGCAACTCAGCTGAATTTTTTATTCTTTTCCTTAGGATATAACTATTTATGCTTTGTATTCATTCATTCATTTTACAAATAGAACTCCCATTTTATGTCATGGATTTTTTTTTTTATGTTGGAAATAGGGTAAAGAACCAAAGGAAGCATTTTTTTTTCAGATCAAATATTCTACAAAGAGGAAATGCATACAATAAACAAGAATATATGTATGTATATGTGTGTAATTATATGTGTGTTGTTTGTCTCTGTCTCTCCAAATATAGGTGGGAAAAAAATAAAGAGAAGCACAAAATAAAGTGGGGTCATAGGAATAGGGAGAGTAAGGAAGTGGATTTAATGGCAATTTTATAAAATTTTTATAAAGAGCAATCAGAGAAAGATTCATAAAGTACAGAATTAAGAAGTCATTAGCAAAGGTATTTAAAGCCATGAGATAAGAAATGATAAATAAGATAATGTATAGATTTGAAAATAAAAGAAATAATCTTTTTTGCGGATTTCAAGAGAGTTCTGTTCCTTGCAACTAAATGAGTTTCAATGAAAGAGAAATTTTCACTGAAATCAGCAGTAAATCCACAAAACCATGTTGTTTCAGATTCTCGCTGCTTGAACACCCGGCCAACCTTGCCTTTCTCCTTTCATCAACTCCCCTTTATTTGAATTAGCTTGATGGGGTTTATGCTTTTTTTTTTCCCCCTCAACCAAACACTCTTTTATGAAAGTAACTTTATAAAAAAACTTGGCTTCAAATACAACAGTGTACTTTTTTGGTCCCCTTAAAAATTCTTTGCATCCCTTAGGCACAATTGGGAAGCAAATGCTGCCATTTAGCTAGGCTTCTAGGATTGGAGTAATTTAATTTTAATCCTCTTTTAAAATGATTAAGGCAAAATGACAATAAATCACTCATTACAAATAAATCATATCCCCAGTAATGAAGTTGGAGTAAAGTCCTCAGACTGAGCGCACATGGAGGTAAAGGAGACGCCTCCCAACCAGCTGACTGCTGCCTCCTGAGAGTCCGTGAGAGGGATGAGAGGAACGGCACTCCGAAACCAGGGCTCCCCGTAGCTGAAGGCCTCTGCTTGCTTTCCTAGTGCTTTGTAGAATCAGAGAACTTTCTGTGTCTATCCATATGGTTCTTTCCTTCATTTAAAATTTCCAGTCCTGCTTTGCTTGTTCTTGAAAGGAATAAAATGATCATCCTCACTTTGTTGAAGCTGTTAATGATTTTTTCCTGCCAAGGCTTAAAAGGAGATGCTCAGAATAATAGGCAGCGAGGACCTTACATATACTTTCTATGATTATTTTTATCATCTATTAGACTTTTTTATTTGTTTAACATGAAAATATTATTATTATTCTGACTCAGTAAAAAATCTGCTGAGTTCCACGTTAATAATCAATCTATAAATTTTATCAAATTACCTCTATAAATACTGCACACGGCTATAAAATTATAAAAACTCCAAGGGAGAAAAAATAGGACAGAGGCTCTGCCCTAGATAAGCTTAAAATCTAATACTCTGGATACTCTTAGGTAACATCAAGCACCAGAGTTGTGTAACGATGTGGGGTGGGCAAGTGGTGAGCCGGAACGGAGAATTCAGGAAGGCTTGTCGGAGGAGCAAGCCTGGCCTGGGCCTGGCTACTGGAATCACCTTACTCTGATTACCTTACCTCTGGCATTCTGTTCAACACACATTTATTGACTCTGTGAGGTACAGCCAGTGTTTTGCAAAGTCACAAGGGCACAGGCTTCATAAACATAAATAAGACACATCTCTGTCCTTGGAGGGTGAGAAAAACTCTGGGAAGTAGAAACAACTGTGTATTCAAAGAGTAAGAACAAATAATCGGGGGGCTGAAGGGCCCCAGGGGCTCAGAGGATTCACAGAACTAGTCTCTGGCTCCCTAATTGGAATCTTTTTCTTATAAGAATACTTTAAAATTTGGTCCAGTAGATGCTATTGATGAGAGAAGCATACTGAATTTGATAGCAAGACCAGCAGGAGAAGCCAAGTTTTAATCATACTTTCCCCCAGAATTAAAAAAAAAAAAAATGAACAAAGAGAAAATTTTAAGTGAATTGTAATTTTAATATTTATAAAGGGTATTGTATTTTATTGTATTATTTCCATCCTATGATGATACAATGTACATGCACAAATACCAGTATTAAAAACTGCTAATGGAGGACAGAGAGATCAGACACAGAGAGCCCTTGTATAAACTAAGCCAGGTTTGCTTATGTATACTGTTCAGAGAGAGGTTGTCCCTGTTGTGCACCCAGCAGAGAAAGCAGCAATATTCTCTTAGGGAAATGGCAACCTCATGGCCATCAAAACTCTCCAGTGGCTCAGAGATGGACCATCCCATCTAGCGTGAGACCATTACATAAGAAACTCTGCGAGCCCTACTTCTCACCCCTAGTCTTTACATGCCAAAGGTCAAAGCAGCCCACATGAGCCCAAACCCAGAGACCTGGGGAAGCCCCCCAACCTGGGCTGGATCCCCACAGCTGCCTCAGAACCCCGCAATGCACAACGGAGTCTCTGGTTAGGGTGTGACTAAGCTCACTGGGATGCAAGCAAACCTCTCACCAAGCAACTTCCCAGCCACTCTAGGCACATTCCTGAGCCCACAAGTACAGACCAGAAACCAGGAGTTACTTAATTCCACATTTCTGGGAATCATTTGCTCCATCCTTATCTCACCTTTAGAGACAGTCTTTGCTTAAAAAGCCAGGACACAAAACTGTGTCCTCTGGTTGTTGTCATGTAAAGATTTAGAGGCAAGAAAGTGAGGGCAGCCAATTCGGACACTACTGTACACGAGGACTGGATGTGGACAAGTAAGTAAGTGGGCGGCGGAGCCGAGAGCCAGGGTTCTCACTGTTGGAATGAGAATTCACAAGTGAGCTGGAAAGAAGGCTAGAATGTTCCATGTGGTGATAGGTTAGAGCTAGAGATTGGTATGAACTCATGTGCAGCTTAATAGTGATGCACATGGCTTCATTTAAAACCATGGTAAGATGTATGCATGCATGGATTGTCTCACACACACACACACACACACGGCCCCTCACTCTGTCAGCTGAGAGGACCTACACACAGTGGTACTCTCATAGCTGCAAACATACTAACCAGTCAATCCCGGTTTCTCTTACCTTCAGTAAAAAGAATGAGAAATGCCTGATTCTAAAACTGGGATGAGAAATAAACAAGATGAAGCTGAGCACCTAGCCATACCAAAATGTAAAGAAATACTCAACAGAAAAATAGAATGTGCATGCAAAAAACCAGAACCTGACTGATTTTCCCATAACACAGCTCGAGCACCTTGAACAAAGTAGTATTGCATTATAGCCCAAAGTACAAAGAAAATGTCTGTGAGTCCCTACTGATATAAATAAATTATTGAATAGATTACTAAATTGAGGAGAAAAAATAAATAATTATTTTTATCCCAGGCCTAATAATTCCAAATAATTTTCATAGTTACCCTGCATTAATGGAGGAACAACAGAGCTCTGCTCTTTAAAGGTGGGCTTCAGACAGTGACTGTCTCCCATGGGCACAGCTGGGAGCCTGGAAACACTCCCTTAGCCAAGTGAACACGTTCAACATCCAAAGTCACAAATCAAGTTGGTGAGATAAGGTTATCAGCTTGATGTGATTTTATGAAAATGGCCCTTCCCTTCTGTCATCTTCCTTCCAATAGCTCATAACTCCAGAATTATAACAAAAAATAGCATGCAAATTCCAGTAGTCCGCATTCTACAAATATTTGACCACTCTTCAAACTGTCAAGGTCACCAATCTATACATGAATTTAAAAAAATGTCACAGTCAAGAGGGGCTGAAGAAGACATGATTAAATGTCACATGGTATCCAGGTGGGGCCCCTGGGATGGAAAAAAAATTGGTGAAAACTAAGGCAATCTAAATAAACTACCATTATTAAACTTTTAGTGGGTAAATCACATGGATATTGGTTCATTAACAGCAACACATGGCCATACTAATGTAAGATGATGCCAATAGAGAGACTGAGTACAGGGTAAATGGGAAGCTTCAGTACCATCTTCTTAAGTTTTCTATAAAATATAAAACTGTTCTAAAACCTAAAGTTAGTTAGAAGATGTATGGGCACATTGACTAAAAGTAAAGAAATATATGTAAAAAAAAGTTGAAGATTGGAGAAGTGAATCTAAAGGGAGTTTAAAGTACATGTTATTGCTAACATACAAAGAAAGAAATTCCTGATAAGTTATAAAACTGAGAGAGCTAAATGATTTTTAGTAGAGTTTTGCATGCTTTCTTGGTTCTTGCTTTTATAGCTCACCCAGATTTATTTGTTTCTGAGAAATTAAAGGCAAATGGAATCCACAGAGCTCTGTCAACTGAACCTTGACTTTAAGACAACTTGACTGCTGACGTGGATCCTTTCTATTTCTAGTGATGGGAAGAAAGTTCCTCTCAGCACAGGAAAGATACTTTCCAGAAGCAAGTTCATAACTCAGGAGATGATGGTAAGAGAATAATGCTGAAAATCAGCTGGCCTGTCAAGATGGTAAGACTCATCGAAATGACAAGATAAAAATACAAAATGTTTTCTTAATTTTTTTAGTAACAGTTGTGTGTTTAAGCAAAAGGATAAAGAAATACATCTGCTTCCTGGCTATGTTAACTAGTTTCTAAGAGACAGTCACATCATTTGGTATTCCCTGGCATGTTTCTGTGAAATTTTTACTTTATGTTCTTTAGGCACAAATATTTTCTAAGTCTCAACTTAGGAAATGCACTAAAACAAAAGCTAAGGATAGATTGGACTAACAGGGTATGTTGGGTGGGCAGGTTCAATTATATTTAGCTCCTAATATTAAAAGACATTGTCTAATTTGAATGTGTTTATAATGCTTGTTTTGAAGCTGGAAATCAAATGTAATTGAATCATTTATTTTCAGATGGATAAGCTGTCTTTTGGAACAGTTAACAAAAGATAGTTA